AAAAAAATTGATCAAATAAAAATTAATAAATAAATAACACACTTACTAATAAAAACCTAAATTAGTAACTTGCTTCTTGCTAAAAAATATTGTTAATTATTAAAACATATTGCACTTACTTCGTCAATTGTAATAGAACTTTTTTCTGCTAATTCAGCTCTTAACTTTTTATAATTATCTTCATTTAACAGAATTGCTTTAGGTACATCCAATTTTATAATCGTACTAATGCCATTCTCTAAAGTAATTTTTGCTAACAGTATTGGGTTATTGAAAGTGATAGAGACAACTTTTCCATCAGCTGCCTTCCAAATAAGATTAATTGATTCTTTAATAATCTCTTCATTATCTTCTATAGTTTCAAACATTGTTTTTAAAGATAAAAATGCTGGTTTTTTGAAACAAGATAGCATCATAACAAAGTATTCTAGTGCGATTATTTATATTTTTATTAATTCAATTTGACTATGATCACATCTAACTGATAAATGATGAGTTTCTTTGATTAAAAATTCAATAATAGAACTGATATAACTTGATAGATGCATTGATTAATATTATTCATATTCATGTACTAAATAAATAAGATATTTCTCAATGATAACGCAATAGGTTATTTTTTAAATACGTTGATTAATAAAGTTTCTTATACTTACTTTCACTAGTTTATGTAGTGATTCTTTTCTCTTTCTCTTTTGAATTAATCAGCAATATTGATTTAGTTGATTCTTTGAAAAGTTCATTTTTGAATACCATGATTTAAAGTATTTTTATAATATGTCGAATATTATGTAGGATAGCATTAGATTTAAATAAACAAGGTATAAGCATGAGGCTTTTTAATATCGATATTTAACTGGCTAATTATATCGATAGAACTTATTTCAGCATCTACCAATGCTGAAATACTATAACGTATAATCTTCATTTAATAGTACTCAATTTTGATGTTTTTAGCTAGCAATTAGTATTAAATCATTACTGTACTATTCGATAGCTAAAATAATACATATAGTCAATTAAATGACTTAAGTTTATAAATATATTTGAAATGTGAAATGCTAATTTATTATTTTTCTTTTGAAGAGAGCTTTCTTCGAATAAATCACTAAAAATATATTAATAAAAGTTATCATACCATACTTTTAATTTGGAAATATGTATTATTAGTATACTTTGTCAGACTACCACATGTCATCACAAATATGATTTGGTTTAATATCACCAGAGAATTCATTTTCATGTATAATGTCATTACATTTTTGAAGAATATGTATATGTAAATTTATAATAAGATCATTATATATTTATATAAGCAACATAGAAAAAATTATAACAAGAATTTCAGGCTTTTAACATATTTCTCTTTTCAAAAATCAATATCCTTGGCTACTGTGATATTAAAAAAAATAATGATCAAAATTGTAGAAAGTAAAGAAATTATAAAAAATTTGATCAATCTAATTTGGAAAGCAACTGAAAAAAAAGTTGTCACTGTTACTTTCAATAGCCAGTTATGCTTAGCAACCATCTCCTTAGATAATGGAATTAATATTACTCTAAATTTGGAAGTACTAAAAGTGGTTCTTATTAAAGAAGACATTTTTAGCAAGATAATAAATAAACATGCTGGTTTTATGATTAATGATGTATGTATATGCACTGATGTGAGTGATACTATATAACTAAAAACAAAGGTCTAAATATAGAATATATAACAATAAAAAAGATTTTAGTAGTCATTTAACATTTCAAAATTTGTAAAATGAAAACTAGGGTAATCGAGATAATGAATCATTCTCACAAGTTGATGAAAATGATAAATTAAATTCAAATTATGAAGTTACTAAAGGAATTGGGTAAAATATTAGTCCAAAGAGGATTCAATGAACTAAAGACAAACAGATAAATAAGATATTCAAAATTACTGAAAAAGATCAAGTGAGTAATATTTTTTCAGTTGAATAATATTTAATTTTAGAGATTAGATTAACCAAAATTAACTGTTATACTAATCTAAGTCTTATCCTTAAAAATGCTCTGATTGATATTTATGTAAATTTATTAATTCTAATAATGAAAATTTTTAACCATACAAACTATTGACATTAACAAAAAATTTAATCTTAAGAGAAAATATTAGTGGCGATGACAGTAGTAATGATGATTCGCCGAGATGGTTAGAATGTGAAGAATGCTATAGACCTAAAAAAGAATTTTGTGATCTTTGTGGTTGTTCTGTATGCAAATGGAAAGGTGATCGAGATCATATTCTCCTATGCAATAGATATTGTGGTAAAGGCTTTCATACCAGGTTTTAAAACTACCACTTGCAAGAATACTAGCTAGAAACTGGTACTGTATGAGATGTTCAAGGAAATCAAAACATAAGAAACAATAAATAATTAAAGTTCAAGTGAAAACGTGAAAAAAATCAAAAAATCAAATGGTAATAGAAAACGTAAACTTTTACTAGATCATAATAGAAAATAAGCTATTTTTTATTATTCCGTATTAAAAAAAACTCAAAAGTATTATATAAATTTATTAGTAAAGTATGTGGAAAATACAGAATCTACAGTAAATCTTTAATTTAGTTATCTTAAGATTTTAAAAGCTATATATCAATATTATTATCAATATAAACTTATTTTTTTTTATCTCTCAAAAGCAAACGGATGAAATTGAAAATACTGCAGCAATTCAAACACAATCAAATACAAACAGGATAAGATTTCATAATTAAAATTCAACGAATCTACCAAAACAAAAATTGAATTACAAAGCTATTTTCAAAAAGGCATCACTTCATCACAGTCCCGAAGTAAACAATGATATTATTAAGTCAATAAATGATTATGAAGACGGTAAAAAACTCGTAAGAAATTTTGACATATTCTTTAATTCTAATTCATTATCTAAAATATATATATATTCAAAATCTAGCAGAATAAATAAATAAATATACTGGTTACTATCAACTAAATATTTTTTTTGGTTAAAAGATGGTGGGACATAGTAAAAAGCAGAAAAGTCCTTCGAATTTTTCAGAAACATATAAGAAAAAAGGCATCTAAATTTACCAAGAGATATAAAAGAAAAAGAACAAATGCGATATTCTTCATCTAAAACTGAACTGATAGTAAGAATTGATATATTTTCAAACCTACACATCTATATAAAATTATAAATTGATATCTTATATCACGATTAGAGTATGAATCAACATCATTGTGCACAAAGGTTTTAAGCAAAGAGCAGCAAATAAGTGGTAAGTTAGACAAAAAAAAAAGAATTTTAGTGTTCTTTATAACTTGAAACACAAAATTTTAAATTTTTTTATAGCTTATTAACTAATAATTTCTTAAAGAACAACAAGTAGAACAGGCGACAAACAGCAAGTATCCCTAATTAAAAATATCAAGTAATTTATATTTTATATCATATTTTTTAAGAATAAATGTATTTGTAACAACTATAGTTAGAGTTAGAATTTGGGTTACATGAATTTTATTGGCTGCACTAAATAAGTTGTTACAAATAAGCGTATAACATGTTGTTGCAATTAGATGAGTCCATTTGTTAAAACTATCAACTTACAATTTTCAATTATGCAATTAGAATATGTAGATTTATTGAAAGAAGCAAGAAGAGAAATAACAGAGAATTTTCCATCTCATCAAGAAAAAATATTTGAAATGTTTTCTCAGTATATCAACAAATATTTTAAAGATTCCTTGGAAGCATCATTGGAGCCTAAACAGTTCCCAAAGATAATAGAAGATAATCAAGGCTGCACCAAATACTTAGCAATTTGGGATTCACATTTCAATAATTGCAAAGGATTAATCGAAATTCAAGATTATAAAATGTTAAAATTAGTTTATTCATTGACTGACGTATTTTTCATTATGCTATCAGGAACAGTTAAACGACACATCATTGGTGAAACATCAGCAAAATTTAAAAGATGCTATATATCGATAGTAATCCCCTAGATTACAATTGATATACAACCCCCCTGCCGATTATTATCATTAGTGATTACTAACGATATATAACAAAAAATTCGTTAAATTTTTTTAAACTTTAACGTTAATTTTCTCGATAACTATCGATCCAAATCAGCTCAAATTTTACCATATATAGTATATATAT